CAAAAGCATGAAAGACAGGCTGAGCTTATGTTCTGTGCTAATGCTAGTGGGGATTTCCTCCTCCAGTCTTCCATACACTAAGAAGAATTGCAATAAAGGTAAGTGTTATGCTGTTAATGTTTCATTTATCATGTCCCATTGTTTTGTTTATGTACTACATCAAATATTTCATGTAAAAATTTTTTGTTTTAATACTTTTAGGTGTCAGGAACGGATTAATTATATTTACATTGTTTCTTATGGGGAAAATGATTCGGAAATAGCCCTATTTCGATAATAGTCCCACTTCCAGGAACGGATTAAGGACGATAATTGAGGGACCACTATACATTATTTCTTATGGGAAATATTGCTTCGACTTTAGGCCGTTTTGATTTTAGGCCTAGCTCCTGGTACAGATTACAGCCAAAACTCTGGGTCCCACTGTTTTTTAACGTGGGTAGGTTGGTAGACAGCACCCACCCGTGAGTGTAAAATGAAAGCCTGTAATTATTTTACATGATGGTAGGATTGCTGATGTCTTTTTTCTGTCTCATAAACATGCAAGATTTCAGGTACTCTTGTTACTTCTACTTACACTTAAGTCACACTGCCATACATTTCCACATTATATATACACACTCATTTGATTTTTTCTTTGATTTTATCTTAATAGTTCTTGTTCTTATTGCTTTTCCTTTTATATACTTGGGGAAGTGGAATAAAAATCTTTCCTCCATAAGCCATGAATGTTGTAAAATCGACTAAAATGCCGGGAACAATAGGTAGTAACCCCTTTTCTGTATAGTCTTTTAAAGAGAAAAAGAAGAAAACCATCAAAGTGGGATGTTTGAATGTGCATGGATGCTGTGTGAATGATAAGAAAGAGATGTTTGGGTGGATGTTATGAATGGAACAAGTTGGATGTCTTGGCTTTAAGTGAAACAAAGCTGAAGGGAGGTTTAAAGAGTTTCAGCTGGGGAGAGAAATGGGATTAGGTCAGGAGTTTTCAAATAGAGCTAAGGGAGGAGTAGCAATAATATTGAAGGATAAGTTAGGGGCAGGAAAAGAGGTAATATAAATGTATAACTTCAAGGATTATTGATTAAAATAAGGGTTGGATGTGAAAAGTGGGTTATATAAGCATTTATGCACCTGGAGAAGGGAGACGTGTAGAGGAGAGAGAGATTTTGGGAAATGTTGGTGAGTGCGTGGGGAGTTTTGAACCAAGTGTGAGGTAATGGGGGTTGGGGGATTTCAATGCTTAAATGGGTAAAAATGATGTGGAGGGAGTAGTATGTAATTTGGGGTGCCAGGGGTAAATGAAAATGGGGAGCCTTTTAAATTGAGCTATGTGTAGAAAGAGGTTAGGTAATAAGTAATACATATTTTATGAAAAGAGCATAAATAAGTATAAAAGATATGATATAGCACATAATGAAAGTTTATTAATTATGAAATTGGTGGATGAAAGGTTGATGGGTAGGCTCCAGGATGAAACATGTGTTTATAGAGGGGCAAACTGATAAAATCGGATCATTATTTAGTTGTAGCTACAGTTAGAGTAAGAGGTAGATGGGTGAAAGGAAAATGAAAAAAAAAAAAAACAAGAGGGGGAGGTGAAAGTGTATAACTAATGGAGGAGGAAGTTGGGGTAGATATAAGCAACTATTGGCAGAAAGGTGGGCTAGTGCAAGTATGAGTAGGGGGGGGTTGAAGAGGGTTCGAATAGTTTTAAAAATGCAGTTTTAGAAAGTGGGGCAGAAGTTTTGTGGCTAGAGGAGAGTTGGGGCAGGAGGAAGGAGGAGTGATTAGTTTAATGATGAAGTAAAGGGTGTGATAAAAGAGAAAAAGCTAGCTTATGAGTTTTTTTACAAAGCAGAAGTGTTATAAGAAGAGCAGAGTATTTGGAGAGTAAAAGAAGGTTGAGAGAGTGCAAAAGGAGAGCAAATGATAGAGTGGGAGGGCACTGTCAAGAAATTTTAATGAAAATAAGAAAAAATTTTTGGAATGAGATGAAAATCTTAAGAAAGCCTAGGGAATAAATGGATTTGTCCCGTTAAAACAGAGTAGGGGAATAGTAAATGGGGAGCTGGAGGTATTGGGTAGATGGCAGGAATATCTTGAGGAACTTTTAAATGTCGATGAAAAAAGGGAGGCGGGGGCATTTCATGCACTGATCCGGGAGGTATAACATCTTTTTTGGAGTGAAGAAGAGCAGGGTGTGAGTGTGGGAAGGTGCATGAGGCATTACGTAGGAATGAAAGGGGGGAAAGCTGGAACTGACGGGATCATTGACAGAAATGTTAAAAGTAGGGGGTATAGTGTTGGAAATGGTTGGTATTTTGTTTAATAAATGTGTGGAAAAGGGGAAAGTACCTAGGGATTGGCAGAGAGCATGTATAGTTCCTTTTATATAAAGGGAATGGAGACAAAAGGGATTGTAAAAATTATAATGGAAAAAAGTTTACTGAGTATACCAGGAAAAGCGTATGGTAGGGTTATTATTGAAAGAATTAGAGGGAAGACAGAGAGTAGGATTGTGGATGAGGGGAAGGCAGCTTTGGAGTGGGTAGGGGATGTGTAGATCAAGTGTTTACATTGAAAGTATATATTATTTTTATTAACACAATGGCCGATTCCCCCCAAGGGAGGGTGGCCCAAAAAGAAAACTTTCACCATCATTCACTCCATCACTGTCTTGCCAAAGGGTGCTTTACACTACAGTTTTTTAAACTGCAACATTAACACACAAAAAGCATATGATAGTGGATAGGGAAGCAGTGTGGCAGATTTTTGCAAGTAAAAGGAAAAAGATAGTAGTTACTAAATGCTGTAGAGAGTTTTTATGAGGATAGTGAAGCTCAGGGTTTGGGTATGTAGGAGAGAGAGATTACTTCCCAGTAAGAGTTGATCTTAGACAGGGTTGTAATGTCACTATGGTTGTTTAACATATTTATAGATGGGGTTGTAAAAGTAGTAAAAACTAGGGTGTTGGGGGAAGGTAGGGGTTAAATTATGGGAATCAAATACCAATGGGAATTGACACAGTTACTTTTTGCTGATGATACTGTGCTTATGGGAGATTCAAAAAAAAAAAAGTTGCAAGGTTAATGGACGAGTTGGGGAGGGTGTGTAAAGGTAGAAAGTTGAAAGGAACATAGATAAGAGTAAAGGTGATGAGGGTATCAAATGATTTAGATAAAGAAAAATTGGGTATACATTAGAGAGTAGTAGTATGGAAGAAGTGAATGTTTTCAGATATTTGGGAGGGTTTATGTGTCAGTAGATTGGTTTATGAAGGATGAGGTTAAAAAGGTGAGTGGTGCGCTGAGGTATATGTGAAGACAAAAAATGTTATTCAGTGGAGGCAAAAAAAGGGAATGTACGAAAGTATAGTGGTTCCAAAAAATATCTTAGGTATTGTATTCAAACATAAATAGTGAACAGTATTTAGATAAAGGTAGGGAAGTTTTTATTGCATTTATGGATTTAGAAAAAAGGATATGATAGAGTGGGTAGAGGAGCAATGTGGCAGATGTTGCAAGTATATGGAATTGTGGTAAGTTCTAAATGCTGTTAAGAGTTTTTATGAGGATAGTGAGGCTCAAGTTAGGGTGTGCAGAAAGAGGGAAAAAAACTTCCCGGTAAAGTAGGTCTTAGACAGGGTGTGTAATGTCACCATGGTTGTTTAATATATTTATAGATGGGGTGTAAAAGAAGTTAAATGCTTAGGGTGTTCGGGAGAGGGGTGGGGTTAAATTATGGGGAATCAAATTCAAAATGGGAATTGACACAGTTACTTTTTTTCTGATGATACTGTGCTTTTGGGAGATTCTAAAGAAAAATTGCAATTTTCGTGGATGAGTTTGAGAATGTGTGTAAAAAGGGAGAAAGTTGAAAGTGAACATAAAAAAGAGTAAGGTGATGAGGGTATCAAATGATTTAGATAAAGAAAAATTGGATATCAAATTGGGGAGGAGGAGTATGGAAGAAGTAAATGTTTTCAGATACTTGGGAGTTGAAAGTGTCGGCGGATGGATTATGAAGGATGAGGGTTTAAACATAGAATTGATGAGGGAAAAAAGGGGAGTGGTGCGTTGATGTATATGTGGAGTCAAAAAACGTTATCTATGGAGGCAAAGAAGGGAAGTATGAAAGTATAGTAGTACCAAACACTCTTATATGGATGTGAAGCTTGGGTGGTAAATGCAGCAGCCGAGGAGACGGTTGGAGGCAGTGGAGATGTCCTGTCAAAGGGGCAATGTGTGGGTAAATATTATGCAAAAAATTTCGGGAGTGGGGAAATTAGGAAAAGGGTGTGGAGTTAATAAAAGCATTAGTCAGAGGGCAGAAGATGGGTTGTTGAGGTGGTTTGGTCATTTAGAGAGAATGGATCAAAGTAGAATGACATGGAAAGCATATAAATCTATAGGGAAAGGAAGGGAGGGGTAGGGGTCGTCCTCGAAAGGGTTGGAAAGAGGGGGTAAAGGAGGTTTTGTGGGCGAGGGGCTTGGACTTCCAGCAAGCGTGCATGAGCGTGTTAGATAGGAGTGAATGGAGATGAATGATACTTGGGACCTGATGATCTGTTGGAGGTGAGCAGGGTAATATTTAGTGAAGGGATTTAGGGAAACCGGTTATTTTCATATAGTCGGACTTGAGTCCGGGAAAAATGGGAAGTACAATGCCTGCACTTTAAAGGAGGGGTTTTGGGATTTTTGGCAGTTTGGAGGGATATGTTGTGTATCTTTATACGTATATGCTTCTAAACTGTTGTATTCTGAGCACCTCTGCAAAAAACAGTGATAATGTTGTGAGTGTGATGAAAGTGTTGAATGATGATGAAAGTATTTTCTTTTTGGGGATTTCTTTCTTTTTGGGTCAACCCTGCCTCGGTGGGAGACGGCCCCACTTGTTGAAAAAAAAAAAAAAAAATTTATTAAAATTATGTACAACCTAGTCTTGATGATCATGCCATAATGAAGGTACTTCCTTTGGCAGATGGTGTAGACCACCGGTTTTGCCATGCTTACAGAAGACCTTTCCAGAAAAGTTTCGTGCCTATGCACAAATTACATCCATCCCAGTTACGGAAAAGATGCCAACTTTCACCTCCAACAATCATGATAGTCTTGGCAAGTTGTTACATGGGTTCCTTGACTACTTTGCCAATAAATTTACGTAAGTTTTGCATGTTTTTGTTTAAAATTTGTAGACTTTTATCTGGGAGGAGAGACAATGGATTGCATAGTTAATGGGTTTGGGGAATGCGGAAAAGGGCGGGAGAGGGTTAGTGAAGGTATTTTATATTTGTGGGGTGGTGGTAAGTGTTTTATTGTCAGGGGTATAAGTAGTTGGTTGATAATGGGAGTTCACTTTGTTGGGGACTATGACTTCTTGGGCAGCTACTATTAACTTTTCTGTTTCTATCCATTTTTATTTTTTTTCCAAAACCCATTACATTATTGTCTTATTTTTCTCATGTATAAGGTATGTGTTTTTTTTTGTTAGGGACATTAGCTTTTGTAATATTGCACATAATTTTTACCTGCCCTTTCCTGCTTTATGATCCATAAAGGGTTTTGCAATTTTTTTTGTTTTGGGTAAAGTATGCAGAGAATTCAAGTTTGGAGATAGGTGCGGGGTTACTAAAATTATTATTTTAGTGGACTGAGGTAGGTTTAGGTGGGGGGGGGTTTGGAGGATGGAGCAAAATAAGAGACTTGGGGGGTGTATAAATCTGTATAAGGGAAGGCAGGGTAGGGGTTTCCAGGAAAAAATGAAGGGAGGGAAAAGGGTTTTGTGTGAAAAGCATGAGTGGGATATTAGATAGGGGTGAGTGGAAAAGGGTTTTTTGGGATTTGTGAGCTGTTGGAGTGTGGCATGGTAATTTTTTGTAAAGGGATTTGGGATTGGGGTCTTTGTGGCATTTAGGATTTGGAAAAGGGTATGACAGGGGGGATGGGGGGGCAATTGGCGATTTGCAAGTGTATGTGTAGGGGTGGGTTTTCTGAGCAGTGAAGATTTTTTTACGAGGATAGTGGGGGCTCAAGTTAGAGTATGTAGGAAAGAGGGAAATTTTTTTCCCCCATAAAAGTAGGCCTTAACAAGGATGTTGATGTCACCGGGGTTGTTTAATTTTTTATAGAGGGGGTTTGTAAGAAAAAGAAAATGGAGGGTCTTGGCAAGGGGCGTGGGTTAAAAGAAAAAAAAAACACAAAAAAGGGGGGAGTTGTCCAGCTGCTTTTTGCCGATGACACTGTGCTTTTGGGGAATTCTGAAGAAATTGCGAGATTGGTGGGTGAATTTGGTAGGGGGTGCAAAAAAAGAAAATTAAAGGTGAATACAGGAAAGAGTAAGGTTAGAGGATAACAAAAAAATTTGGTGATGAAAGATTGAAAATCAGATTTGGGGGGAAGAGTAGGGGAGGGGAACGTATCAATATTTGGGAGTGGCGTGTCAGCGGATGGTCTATGAAGTAGGTGAATCAAGAATTTATGAGGGGAAAAAGATGAGTGGTGCACTTAGGGTTGTGGAGACAAAGAAATTTTCCTGGAGGCAAGAGGGGAAGTTGAGAGTATAGTTTTTTCCAACGCTCTTATATGGTGTGAAGCGTGGTGATGAATGTTGCCCGGGGGGAGAAGGTGGAGGCGTGGAGGCATTTGGGGCAAATGGGGGGGTGTGTATAAAGGAGAATTTTTTTGGAAATTAGGGGGAGGTGCGGGATTACCAAAATGTTGTCCAAGGGCTGAGGAAGGGTTGTTGAGGTGGTTCGGACATGAAGAGAATGGGGAAAAAAATGACTTCAAGAGTTACAGCCCGTGTGGAAGGAAGGCGGGGTAGGGGTCGGGCCCAGGAAGGGTTGGAGGGGGGGGGAAAGGAGGTTTTTTGTGCGGGGGCTTTTGGGCTTCCAGCAGGGATGCGTGAGCGTGTTTATAGGAGTGAATGGGAAAAAAGGGTTTTTAAAACTTGAGGCTGTTGGGTGTGAGCAAAGTAACATTTATGAAGGGATTTGGGAAAAACCCGGGAGGCCGGACTTGGTCCGGAGATGGAAGTACAGTGCCTGCACTCTGAAGGAGGGGGGTTTAATTTTTTCTTTAAAAACGGGAGTGTTAAAACACCCTTCTGGCAAAACAGTGATGGAGTGAATGATGGTGAAAGTTTTTCTTTTTTTTGGGCCACCCTGCCTTGGTGGAAAACGGCCGGGGGTGATAATAAAAAAAAAAAAAAAAAAATTTGGGGAAATCCCAAAACCCCTCTAAAGGAGAGGTTTTGGGATATATTTGGTCTTTAGAGAGAGATCTAAACTGTCATTTACATGCCTTGGCAACACAATGATAGTGTGAAAATGGGAAAGTGTTTCTTTTTCGGGTCACCTTCTATGGTGGGGGACAACCCTGTGTTAAAAAAAAATTTCTTTTTTTAATGGTTTGGGGGGGGGGTCACGGTATTGACTTAAGGAAAGAGAGGGCCGTAAGACCTTTTTTAAGGAGTTTTAAAAATTTGGGGGTAAGTGTGTTTTGCCCGCTTTTTATTTATTTTGTGTTTGTTATTTTAAATTCAATAGGGTTTAGAAATTTTATAAAAAATGTTTAAATGGGATGTGGTAATGATTTTTGTTTTTTATTTTTAAAAAAAAAATAGGTGTGAAACCATGAATTTGGAATGGGGGTTTAAAAATTTGAGGGTTGGGGAAATTCCACTTGCGAGTGCATCCACGGCAGTTTTTCCAAAAACACAGTTTTATGGTCAATTTTTTTTCTTCCTAAAAGAGTGAAATTTCAAATTAAGCGGCCTCAAAGGAGGTTTTTTTGATGCTGGGGAGGGGGTTTTTGCTTTCTCTAAGAATTGGATCTCTTTGTTTGTTGGGCTTCTTAAGAAATTGGCAATGTATGAGGGAAAAATGCTTCTTAACGTACACCCAAAAATGAAAGAAATTGGACCCTTGGAGTTCACTTCTCAGCAATTAGCCACCCCTTAGCGGTATTTTTCGTTTGGTTTGTATGGTTGTATTCTCTTTTTTTGGTCTCATTTGATAGAATGGAAGATCTTCTTTCTTTCAACACACTGGCCGTATCCCACCGAGGCGGGGTGGCCCAAAAGGAAAAACGAAAGTTTCTCCTTTTACATTTAGTAAAATATACAGGAGAAGGGTTACTAGCCACTTGCTTGTAGCATTTTAGTCGCCTCTTACGACACGCATGGTTTACGGAGGAAGAATTCTGTTCCACTTCCCCATGGAGATAAGAGGAAATAAACAAGAACAAGAACTAGAAAGAAAATAGAAGAAAACCCAGAGGGGTATGCATGTATATATATGCTTGTACATATATGTGTAGTGTGAGCTAAGTGTAAGTAGAAGTAGCAAGATGTACCTGAAACTTTGCATGTTCATGAGACAGAAAATGGACACCCAGCAATCCTACCATCATGTAAAACAATTACAGGCTTTCGTTTTACACTCACTTGGCAGGACGGTAGTACCTCCCTGGGTGGTTGCTGTCTACTAGCCTACTACCTAGGAGAATGGAAGATACAATACAGAAATAGATATGATTTTCATTGCTTTCACAACGAAAAGTACCTGAAATTGAGCTCAAAGTGGGAGAAATGTTCAATTCTTTGGCTATGTTCAAGAGTAAACAAATGACGTTACCTCCATTCCAATATGCAGTCATGAATGGCTTGATATTATTTATACAATTATTTACAATAATGCAGTATTCTGCATAACAGTAAATCTTCTATTTTTTGTGTGAATAAAAATTCAAATTATTTATATTGTTGAAAAAAAAAATAATACGTATAATAAATAGTATAATACTAATAATAATAATAATAATAATATACGTATAATAATAATACAATCATAACGTACTATATAATTATTATAATAGATGGCTTCAAAAGGCTGTCACTAGATGGCAGTGTTTACCACAACAATGCTGGAGTGGTTATGGCTGCCTCCACTTGTCACATAATGACATATTTTATTCATTCTAGAGTATATATCAGGTTCTATGTTATTTATATTGTTTATATGTCATATTAGATGAATTGTGATAGATAAATAAGCCATAGAGTTGATATTAGGGAAATTATTGAAGTATTTTATGGTGCCTGGAATTCCACTGGAATGAATGAATTCCATTTCAGTTAATTTAAATGAGGAAAATTGACTCTGCAAACGAGCAAATCCAGATGAGAGCAAGGTCACAGGATGGATTAAACTCGTTGGAGGTTCCACTGTATATGTCTTACGAGCCAGTGTTTTTTGACATATTAATGTGACAAAATTCTAGCTGCTTCAAATCAAGCAGGAGAAAGCTGGTAGGCCCACATATGAGAGAATGGATCTGTGTGGTGGTTGTGCACAATATAAAAAAATCCTGCAGCATGCAGGGCATAATGAGAAAAAAAAAAATTCAGCCATGTTTTTGGATTAAAAATGCCGACTTTGAGGTGTAATATTTGAATAGTATTTATGGTTTATATTCTCATTTCCTTGGTCTCTTTTGATAGAATGGAAGATATGTTACAGAAATAGAGATGATTGGTTTCATGATGAAAAGGACCTTGAAATTGAGCTCAAAGTAGTGGAAATGTTTGTTTTTTGCCGATGTTCAAGCGTCCAATACATGTCCAACTGGCCTGTCTAATACGCAGTTACAAATGGGTTGACATTATTTATATAGTTATTACAGTAAACTATTTTTTTGTGTGAATAAAAATTCAAAACAGAAAGTAAGAGTAATATAAGAGGGGCCTGGAGATGTGACTAATGAACAGAGAAAATGTTATTTTAGTGCCAGGAATGTTTTCATTGTTTATTCTGGATCCTATTTTGAAATTGGGATCTTTTTAATTTTACATGATATTGGCCAAATTGCCAATTTCTGACCACTTTATTGGGTAGTTGAAATCAGTAAATGGACGGTTTCTTGTACTCAATTGATGGAACATATGGAGTTCTAAAGAAATAACTATGAGTTTTGATTGATTGGAACAATGGAATTGGCCAAAAATAGTGCTCAAAGTGGGTGAAATCGCCAATGCGTATATATTGCCGAGATTGCTTACTTCGCGAGAGTGTAATTCCGTAAGTTTTCCATCAAGTTTCGTACTTTTGGTGTCATTACCATCGGGGAAAGATTCTATGTCATTTCATAAGAATTTTTTTTTTCCAAATATCTTACAACATGGAGAGAGACTTCAAGATTTGGGGTCTCAACAGCCAAAGGGTTAACTAATCATGGTATTGTGTCTTTTTATTATTTTTTTTTTTCACTTTAAAAACTGCATATCTTACCTATTCTTTCAAATGCTCTGCAGCTCCTTTGCAGCTGCTTTGTTTCATCCCTAACCACTTTGTTTCTCTTCTATAAACTTGTTCAAGATCACTTCACTAACACTGCTCTACACTTTGGCACACTTCCTGTTCTACAGATGATGGCTTTTCTTTCATTGAGAAGTGCTGTATTTCCAGAAAGTAGGTCTCTTTTTGTTGTTGGATTTTTTTGTTTTTGTTTTGATATGCTACAATGATCCAAGTTTATTTGACAGGTTTATTGAAGAGACAATCTCAGTGCGGACTGGAGGGACGGTACCCACAGCTCATTGTCGCAATGTCAAGTCTCGAAAGAATGATACAAGAATGTGGAAATACCTTTGCATTGAAGGTTTGTAATATTTGAAAAGCTGTAGTAAATGCATCTGTAATTGATATTGTTGTGGCTTATTATTACCTAAATTAATTTTACAAATCATATAATAAAAAAAAATTGATACATTATATTTTCTTCTGTGAATAATCTGGAATTGCAAATACATTACAGTATTTAATAAAGAATAGAGTTAATGTATCAAAATTATGAGATATTTTTGTAAAAAAATTAATGTTTTAGGGAGATTTGGTCAAGAAGATCAACTGCCTTAAAAATTGACCCTTGATTTTTTTCCCCTTTGCATGAGATTTTTTTAAACCATTCAGGGTCTAGATCCCTGATCTGAAAATTGACCTCAGGGTCCAAGAATTTAAAAAACAAAAAATATGAAATGATAGAGAATCTTTATCCGAAAGTAATGACACTAAAAGTACGAAATTTGATGGGAAACTTACAGAATTACGCTTTTGCAAATTAAACGGTCTTGGCAGTATTTACTTATTGGTGATTTTGCCCACTTCAAGCCCTATTTTAGTCCAATTCCATTGTGCCAGTTGACCAAACTCATAGCTATTTTGCTAGTGTGCCTTCCATTCTATTGATTGAGTAGAAGAAACCACTCATTTAACTATTTAAACTACTCAGTAAAGTGATCAGAAATCAGTAATTTAGCCAATTTCACACAAAATTAAAAAATTGCCAATTTAAAAATAGGGTCCAGAATAAACAATGAAGACATTCTTGGCACTAAAGCAACAGTTCTTCTGTTCATAAGTTACATCCCCATGTCCCTACTATATTACACTTGCTTTCCATTTTGAATTTTTATTTACTGTTATGCAGACTGCTGCAGTATTGTAATAATTATTTAAATAATGTCAGTGCATTTGCGAATGCCCATTAGATCGACCAGTTGGATGGGTATTGGATGAGTGATGTAACCTGTGTCCTCTGGAGTATTGGCAAAATTCAAACATTCTGCTTTGAGCTCAATTTCAAGTGATTTTCAGTTCTGAAACCAATCAGAATAATCTCTATTTCCATAATATATTGTCCATTCTGTCAAATGATACCAAGAAACTGAGAATACAACAATAAAAACCATCTGAAAATACACCACAAAGTTGATATTTTCAACCAAAAACATAGTCTCAGCTTTCTTTTTCCCATCATGCACTGCATGGGGCAGGATTTTTTTTATATGGTGCACACTCACTGCATAGACTCATTCTCTCATTTCTAGGCCCAAATTTAATGCTCGCTGCTTATCAGAGTGAGCTGAGCTCATGTAGGACTATGGCACAGACCCTGAGCTCAAACCTGTAGTACTATGGTACTGACCTTGAAAGGGTTAAATCATTGTGGTATGCAAATTTTTAATTGTGCATCAAAAATATCTCTGCAACAAATCCTTACCTTACTAATATTACTACTACCATCAGTTGTTCTTCCATCTCCTAATTATGCTTTCCTTACCTTAAGTATTTGGATGAACTCTTTTTATTAAAATTTAAATCTTTTACTAATCGATAGTAACTGCTTCACATACTTAATTTACAATCCAATATTTTAAAATCTCTCAACAATTTAAGATACCTAATTCATAATCCCAAAAAAGAACAGTTATAACATCATAGCTAGAAAAATTTACCAAAAACCTGATGATGTTTGGGTCTGTCCTGGACCGTTGTCACTTGAAGATGGTCTAGGACTGACCAGATCATCATTAGGTTCCTCTACTAAGTGTGGATTTTTGGTGAATAACTACAATATTTTGAAATCTTTTAATATTAAAGCATGAATTTTTGTATGGAACTTAAAAATGTAGAGATACTTGACAATGAAAATAATTAAGATTCTGTTCGACTACTTAGCCTTGCAGATGTGTAAAGATTTATTGAGAAAAATCCATGGAAAAGTTGATTACATGCTGTTGAATGTTGTATATGTGTAAAATTATTCAATATGCTTAATTTTTCTTTTTTACAGAGCCATTTGATCTGACGAACACTGCAAGGTCTGTATATGATGAAACTGTGTTTGAACGAGTGAAGAAGGTATTTGTGGATTCGTACAAACTCTTGAATGAGAAAAGCGACCTTGCTTGTATTCTCACATGAGGCATAGTGGTGGGTTTAGGGAAGGTAACTGGAAGCAGTGTAAATAAGATCATTGTTATATGTTTGTAGTTGATGGTGAGGACCTGAGTGACCACTGTGTGAACCTGTCAGAGCCTCATTTTAGCCCACTGATTGATATGTATTCATTGGAATGTGGTTGAAACATTAGATAGTTTCATCTCATTTACTGTAATTTTTTTTTTTTTTTTTGGCTGCAGTAGACCACATTTCCAAATATGGGACCATGCTTGAAAAGTCCGTCTTGTTATTCCATGGAGCTCAGCCTTGTGTCCCTGGGACAAGTCAGGCTGTAAGTGATTGTGAATTGCATAGTTTGAATCATCAAAGATTTTTATTGATCCTACCAGGGTGGGTGTAATAACTATTGATTCAGTTAATTGGGTTGCATTATGTACTTGTAAACCATAATACAGTAATTGTTTACTATGATGTTAGCAGTAAGATGAAGTTTACCCCAGCAACCACGATGATCAGAATCTGAAGTAAAATTATACAAAGATAAATAACAGCATATTGGATGAAAGTTAAGCGAGCAAATGCATTTACTTCCATGAACTTAATTGAATTAGTAGTTATGGATAGTGTAATAATAAAATGAAGAAAACTAAACAAATAGACTAGGGTGTAAGTCTATTTCTTTTTTATAGAGTATATGATATGTAATATATGTAACTGGCCAACTTGGAAAAATATATTGTTTCTACCTAGCACAGTT